CTGTTCGGTGCTCAACGTCCCGACGACTGCCGCGCGCTTGTCATTGGGATTGCTTCTCCTATTCATCATCAGACACCAGACTGGAGTACCTTACATGGCTGAGCTTAGCCAATGCGGCGACCTCACGTGAAAACGAAACCCACGAAAGTCGAGACGATGCGCTCAGTTTGGGGCATATCTTTAGCGGTTGATTGCGCGGGGGCCCAAGTATGGCAATGCTACGCAATGTGATCTATGAAGGCTCTAGTTTGGAAGACCATGTGGCAGGAGAGGTTTCCCAGAGTAAACGAACGCTTGGATTCGTGCCCGTGTTTTTTCTTGCAAATGAAATATGTCGTGCAAGCAGAACATCTGAGAGCGCTTACCTTGCGACTTTCCATCCATGTTTCTAGCTGACTCACAGTCTAAAACAATAACACTGAAACCCAAAACCATAGAGCCAAGTTCATCGTGCAGCGCAGCAACGGAGATTAAGCACTGCTGTTTATAGGACTAGGGCTGCCGGGTGGGATCCAGAGGTTAATTCATCCTGCTACGCTCCCACAAATCATAGTCAGAGTTTTCCTGGAACAGATTATGCATCTTGTGAGGAATGAGATAGCCAAGCAAAGAGAGAGAGGGGGGGGGGGGGAGGGGATGGGGAAGCCTCCGCTGGAAGGGAGAGGCTTTTGTGCCCGATAAATTTTAACACCCGAAGAGTGCCTAAATGTCATTAATAGCTTATCGATCCCCTCTGAAGGAGTTGAAGCTCCTGGACCAGTGATGCTGTTTGGGTTCAGGTTCGCCTCAACTGCAGAGGTCATTTCAAGCCCACCCGCTAAGACCCCTGGAACGCGCGAATATGTCTGCCGGCCTGAAATAGACTCTCACGTCAAAAAGATTGGGCTGAATCCGATCAGAGAACGAATTTGAGAAACTAGGAAAAAGCGTAGGGTACCCTGATGCTGTACATGTAAAATGTCTGTTGTTTTTCTTTTGTCGCTTGTTAGAACTTATCTCGAATAATGGTCTTCAGAAGGATTTGCATGCTTAAATTGCATACGAAACAATCCCTGAGAGGATTGTTTGGTGCCGCAGCGTTCCGGCACCAGGGTTGGCAATTGTTAGAACAGATATTCGATGAGGCAAGTTTTCTGATGCTATGGTAGTAATTGATATGACGTAGTATCTGTCCTGTCTTTTGCACACAGGTCTTACGAATCTTGAGTTTGGCAAGAATCAAACGGAACGGAAACGTGCGCTAGTTCTGCCCTCTACAGCATAGTTCGTGCCAGGACAGGATAGCAAATTAAAATTGAAGACAAACTTTCTGTATATAAACACACCATGAAAGTGCACGGCAGACATATGAACGACAAAATGAAAGGCATGGAAAGGGATAGCTCGGATTAATCGCCCATGACCCAGCAGACTGGTTTCATCCGTGATAATAGATGCATTTTTTTTTCAACCAGCTTGCCTGCTCCCTCCGTGTTAATAGAGAGGAATGACTGAACACTCGATCACATGTTCGATCATTTGATCGCACCACATCAATGTAATGTGGACGCCAGCCAGACTACATCACGACACCACACTACATGATACGTATGTGGAAACACAACATGACCGTCGTAAGCTGCAGTTACACCATTGATATGACATAACCGCGTTGACCACGATGCTTCGGTAGTGGGTTATCCTTTCAAAGATGCAGACCTATGAATCAGCACTCTTGCATTGCTGCCTTTCAGCCGGCAGCAAAGACTTTCTGGTTTGGGATTAATGTTTCACTCACAAACACCAAGTCTGTAGCAAAAACTCATCTACCCCTGCGCAGCGGATTCTCTTAAGCGTAGTGCGACTCACATTCCCGCAGCAGTACATCACGCCGTCATCAGGGAGTGACACAGTCAGTGGGTCAGTAGACTGCTCCTTTAGAAGCCTTTTCAATGCGGTCTTTTTTGGTGGGCATCGAAATTCGATCATTCGCGAGAGTGTTGATACGCACATTATGAACACGATCACTATCACTGGTGTCCTATGGAGAGAGATAGGAGGTGGACTCGAGCTGCTCTTTCATGCGCCTCCCCCCATGCGCAGTTAAAGATGACCTCGCTCCCGTCCTGCGTACGCATGCACGAACACGAGGCAGACTGTGTTCTACAGTCGGCAAACAAAGCTTTATTGGGCTCGGTGCCCGCAGATTGGTCTATCCACCGTGCCGATGTGTGTCCGGAATGCGCCATTCCTTATCGTGCGTCGCTGCAGCGTGCTGACGACGTCGGCCGTGACTGCTGTAAAACGGGCGGATCAGCACATCGATAAAATACGAAGGAGAAAGCTCGTGATAAGGATTCTCCTGCACGAGATCAAAGCAAGCGGGTAGCAGTCATGCCAGCTGGTTTGTCGCGATTTCAATATGTTGTGATGCGGGATGGGATGGAGATAAGATGGATTTAAGAGAGAGAGAGAGAGAGAGAGAGAGAGAGAGAGAGAGAGAGAGAGAGAGAGAGAGAGAGAGAGAGAGAGAGAGAGAGAGAGAGAGAGAGAGAGAGAGAGAGAGAGAGAGAGAGAGAGAGAGAGAGAGAGAGAGAGAGAGAGAGAGAGAGAGAGAGAGAGAGAGAGAGAGAGAGAGAGAGAGAGAGAGAGAGAGAGAGAGAGAGAGAGAGAGATATATATATATATATATATATATATATATATATATATATATATATATATATATATATATATATATATATGCGCGCGCATAACACCTGGCTTTTCCATTTATCAAAAATGTATATCGGTGTACGCTTATCATTCACCAGTCAAAGAGCATGAAAAGTTGATAAGATTATGGGTTAACTGGGCGAGCAGAGTCCTGCATGATTATATTGCGCAGGCCAACATCTTCATTGCACTTGCGACAGTTTGTATGTGTATGTGGAGCTGGCGTTTGTTGCTTAGCTTCACGTATATGTCCGAAAAAATCAACGGCGTACACAAAATACTGAAATTGATATGTCGCTGCCTTTCTTTTCTTCTTCGTCGGAGGTCCGTGAAAGCCAACTTAACACCTTTGCATCCCCGATCCCGGTCATTCCCCGCACTGGGATGGTCATCAGGCGACCTGTCCATCGATTCACGTCACAGGCGGCCGCGCGCCGAGCGAGCCTCATCGCCACTGCTGGAGCTTCGTCGGAAGCGCAGACGCCGCCCTTAGTGACAGGTGGACACCAGGAGCAGCTCCCAGCTGTGCTTGCTCGGCCTCAGGACTTCCTCCCATTTGTGTTTCCACACTTTTACTTTTGGAATTAAATCAGGTATTGAGCAAAATGTCGGGAGGAGCCGACGTTTATGGAGATCGGAAAGGGCGAGGCTCGAGCGGAGTGTCAAACGGACACGGACCGATGACGGATGCGGGGGCCGAGACATCTATTGGCAAATACCGTTCACGCCCACTGATTTAGTAGCTTACCTTCGATGCTAATGTTGACCCACATCTGCGCTTGCTGCGTGGAATCGGACGGTGAGAACCAGACGCACGCTTCTCGGTTGTTATGGGCTGGCATGCGACAATGCCCAGCCCCGTTCCGCCGGTGAAACGGGGCCGTGTTGGGAAGCTGCGTGAGGAAAATCCACCGATGTGAGAACCTTTGCTGAACATTTACGCTAGACGGATTTCTTTCACACGGAGTGCGTGATGCCATTTCGGATGAGCTGGGCGGTCGTATGACTAACGAGTATTCCGACCATCAAGCTGCCGGTGCCCGCGTCAGTCTCGTCGTCAGTCGCTTTCCATTTCTCCAACGTCATCTGAGACTATAGCACCGCTGGACAGCACTTGTCACGGTCCGATGTGATGCCGTGCCCCTGTCAGCCATACCCAGCTCCGGTTCGTGCAGTTGCAGCCCATCTCGAATCATGGCGACGAAGCGAAAGCTAGAACCGTGCTCATAAACGGAGCACGTGAGCATTTTGACCAGCGCCAAACCAAATAAATGAATGACGTATGTTGCTATCTGCGCGTGCATGAATGGTATCTGGTTTTTATTCAGGCAGGGAGCGTAGCTTCGCAAGACGAGTTGGGGCTTGAGGGGAAACGGTGAAACCTGACACAAGCCACCCCCGACATAGTGGTTTGAGGAACGGGATTTCCCCGGATTTGACCCACTTCCCTCTTAAGGCCCAAGAGGGGGACCGAAACACCCTCCCCCCATCAAATGAAAAGGAACCTGCACCCATGGTTGAGGGGAAACAATCCCCGACACACGCGGCCGCGCACGTCTGCAGCGGCACGGCAGCTAGCCATTTGTTTGCTCGGCCTTGTGCCCATGTCAGCCGGTCAGTTGATATGTGATACGAACGAGGCCGGACCGGGGACCGACTTTCGCAAGTGTCCGGCCACGGGTCTGTCACAAACCGTGTCTTTACAAATACCGTAATGAGGGATCGCCTGTGGCAGGTCTGGATCTGCGTAGTGGTGTCCGCAGAGCGTAGATCTGTCTTTCGTGACAGTTCATTTGGAAGCGTGATATAAGATACGTTCTGGAACGGTGCATTTGCTTTCCGGCCGCATTGTCGCAAATATTGGATACCCGTCTAGCTGAAGATAGTTCGATTACGAGAGACATCCACATCCATTGCATGGTTATATGCATTCACACACACACGCACGCACGCACGCACGCACGCACGCACGCACGCACGCACGCACGCACGCACGCACCACTTGATAAGGCGAGCTTAGCACATTAGTAGCCGGCAAGCTCCTAATTGCTGCATCTTTATCCCGTACCTGTCCGAAGCCACTCCAGTACAACCCTACATCCTGTTTCATCCTTATTCCATCCTTGTCCCGTCTTGACTTACCACCAGTCTTTTATACGGACTCACGTGCAATATGACGGGTGCGAGAATGGACACTGGCTAAGTTGATGCATCGGAAAATACTACATGTGATATACAATTTACAAAGTGGATTGAGCCCGGGACAGAAACTTTCCTACACAATCTAACCCTGACATCTCTTGCAGTCGCCTGAAAGCTGAGCTTCAACAGTTGCGCCGCAAAGGCGCGCTGCGGGCGGGCACGGACCGGGGTCGCTCGTGCGCCCGCTGTCTAGCTGAGCTCGGTCGCATCATGAACAGGGGCGCGCCCTGCCGCTCGTGCCAGATGCGCGTCTGCAAGAGCTGCCGCGAGTTCAGCAACGGCGGCCACGGCTGGGTCTGCACCGTCTGCAACAAGCGCATGTGAGTCACTGCCCTGCGGCAGCAGCACCGTCAGAAGTGTAGGCGAATGCTGCCATCCCGTGCGACACAAACTCATGCGGATGTGGGTACGCTGATCGCGTTTGGTTGCATGCAGAACAGTTGGCGTGCTCCACGACCCAAAATCACGCTTAAGAGAGTTAACATAGAAAAGATAATAGTATTAGCCTTATTCATCGGAAAAAAAACAGGAGAATGGAGATATAGTTTGGTTGATATTTCGATAAAGGCATGTTGCCGAAATATCAACTAAACTATATCTCCCTTCTCCTGGTTTTTCCGAGGAATGAGGGTAATACTACTGTTTATCTACGTGAATAATGCTCCTCGCTAATGCACTGAACAACTTACGTCATTAAGAGAATTTAAAGCGCTTTGGTTTTTTATGTTTTAAGTCTATTTTTCCGGAATTGAACTATCAACGATAATTCAATTTCTCGCCATCGACCGTAAGCACCTTATTGAAACTTCTAACTTATCGCTTCCTTACAGCTTATATCTGCGTTCGTTTGCAGAAAGAGCTTAAAAAACTCGTGTGCAGCAAAACAGATTTGAATTCACGTACTGACGCTATGCAACATATATATATATATATATATATATATATATATATATATATATATATATATATATATCCTGTATATAATATATATATATATATATATATATATATATATATATATATATACAGGAACGTGTGGTTGATACTATCTTGCTTTTGTGACTACTTAAACGCGGTATTATTCACTGCGAACATTTTCTTTTAATGACATAATGCATTTTCACGGTAAAAACCTATGAGCAACGTCTTAGAGAATTATCCCGTACGCGAACGCTCTCTCTCTCTCTCTCTCTCTCTCTCTCTCTCTCCCCTCTCCCTCTCTCTCTCTCTCTCTCTCTATCTATCTCCCTTGCACTCTCTGTCTTTCCCTCTCTCTCTTTCTCTCTCTCTCTCTTTCTCTCTCTCTCTCTCCCTCCCCCGCTCTGTCGCTCTCCCTCGCGCTCTCGTTCCCGCTCTCGTTTGTCCTGCTCGCACTTAGTCTACCGCTCGTCCCCGCGGCTGCTGACTGTTTTATCATGAGTTATCCCCAGAATAACTAGATTAGCTTCGCGGTCCAGACCACTATTTTCACCAAGCTGGAAGTGGTCGGTCTATTTTCAGGGAAACGGTTTATCGATATGGAACTACACCGAATGGAACCAGATTGTGTCCTAGCTCGTTTTAGTTGAGCCATCGCTATTGAGCAACATCCATACGGACAACTTTGCTGACTCAAACTGAGAACCGCTTGTCCGTGAGGGTGGGATCTCGCCGGGCCGGAGGATGATGTCAGGGGAGAGGATATACATGTAGCATGTGTCTTTGTTAGGTGTACACACATTTACGCATGTAAACACAGGCCCACTTAAGCCTTCCGGACAAGCAACTGTTTCCATTGGCGGCCACGTGTTCGGTCAGCCTGTGAAATACTGACCTGGCCTCAGGCTGCGTGGAGGTCACCATACCGGTGACTTGGGCCCGTCGTGTAGTCACTTCTGTCACTGACCCAGGGCTGAGTGTTTTGCTGCCGGTGGTCTTCTTATGTTCAACTGTGACACCAGAATTCGCTCATTGAATCGCTCCGCTCTCCGCCCTGACCTGCGGTGAATGTTCTCCGCTGCCAGAAGATGTCTCTGACTGTTGCGCCGGAGCTCTCTCCCCGCTCTGACCTCAGGTCACCGTTCGCCGCTGGCAGTTCAGATCTCTGACTGTGGTGCGCGGGCCATGTTCCAGTGAGATCCAGCTGGCGACGGGGCAGTGGATGGACGCGTTCGTGCGCCGGCCGTCTAGGCGACGCGAGTCGGTCGCGGTGCCCACCAGCGTGCTCCGACGCCAGATCCGACGCTCCTGGACCATCTCCAGTGAGTGCCGCAAGCCAAGCTTACCGCCGGTGAGGACGTTCTGTGTTGTTGAAAATATGAAGGCTCAGCAAATTCTTGTCAACATGGTACGTTTTAGCCAGCGTTGCAAGCTGCAAGCTGAGATGGTCCCAGAACATTTGTGGCTTGGATTGACCAGTGTTTATCCCATCGCCCGTTTTGACCAGTCCTTGACCCAAGGGCTGCTCACGTTGTTACCTGGAGGCATGCCTCCTCCCTTTCACCCAGTTATGAATGTCAGCGTCAATGAAGGTTGTCGGCCAAAATTTTGAGATAGACTCACCATCGAAATACATTGAGAATCTGCGATGTTGTATGTGCCACGCATGAAATTCCATGCTCCTGTGGCATGCCTAACTGGAGTTTCAATGAAATTTATTATAGTCGTTTCCTCTCTCCCCATAGGGAGTTCTTACATTCACCCTGCTTTCCCGTACGCACCTTTCTGTCTTAACTGTCTGTGCCCGGTGCCGTGGCTGACAGAGTTGCGCGTGTCCTCAGACGCGGCGGAGTCAGGCCGCTCCGTGGCCGACATGCGAGCCCGACAGGCCCGACAGTGGCTGGCCGGAGCGCCACCGCCTCCGCCACCGGCCGGCAGGGGTCAGCCGCACCCCCGCCCCCGCCCCCGGCCCCGGCCGGAGCACCGGCCCGTCCGCCGGGTCACGGTGGCGGCCGCCGACCGGGGACGGTAAGTGTCAGTCCGCGAGGGGCTGATGCTGGGGTGTGGCCCAGCGGCCAAGGTCATGGCTATTGAGTGAGATTTTAGGACGGGTACGTGACTGAGCACATCAATGATGCCCGCATGCTGATCTCACTTGCGGGATGCTGGCTCTATGAAGGGCGTGGAAATCCGACTGAAAGCACAAAAACCTTGTCTGATATGAAATCGGACTTCGCCAATTGGTAAAGTTCTCGGAAGAATTATTCACAATTTTACGGCGGTTGCTCAAGCGCGAGCTGAATTTTGAGGCCTTCCGACTCACGGCTCACGGGACTTTCTCGCATCGGACTGTCACCTCAGGCACGCGAATCACACCCCTGCAGTGGTATGGTCGCCCCGACCAGCGGTGGCCTTCGAGCACGTCTGGCTGGATGAGGTGGCAGGGGGCGGGTGAGAGGGCGGATCGTGCCCGTGCCCCGCCTGTTGAGCATAAATTCGCTCGTGGCCCGTGGGTGTGACGGCGTACACCGTGCCCCGCCCGGCCAACAGCTGCGGTCGAAAGTAAAAGCATCCCGCCTCGGCCCGTCCAGAGTGTCACGTTTCCAACGGCCGTGGTGGAGAGGGCAGCCAGTCCCTGCAGAGTGATGTCGACCCGGACTCTTGCTAAAACAGGTGATGGCTCCAGCCATCCCTAGCCAGAAAAGGGAAAAGGACGACATGGGGTCAAAGGGAAGTCGACCATGGTCTTTGACGAGGCGTGCACTCTTGTGGGAAATGGTACAAACATCTCCCGTTGATTGGGTTAGGCTATTTCCTAACTTCTCTCTAATTGAACCGACGGGATGGCCAGAAACAACGTACCCTGAGAATGATGGCTCTAAGTGCTGCATACAGGTGCGTCCGTATGCCGTGATCCCACCCACTTGCTGGCTGCCCACACCTGAACCACGAGCGAGGCCGCGGACAGAGCTAGCCATAACATCGAGAACCGGAATGTTTGTGTCTTCAGCGGCCGAGTCCGGCCGAGTCCAGCCAGCCACTTTTGGGATCGGCTCCTATGTTCTGTTTAATCACTCGTTGTACCACGGTGAAGTTTTCAGCAGCAATCTGCACAATTCTATGCAAGCTGTGGTGTAATATCCTCAATGAATTTAGAGGCAGGCTGTTTGGCTACCCTGGAAACGCTATCTCTGTCTGTTGCCGTAGCGCTACAGCCTCACCGCGCTATTTGACGGTCTTGGAGAGCGAAACAGTTTAAATCACGAGAAGGCCAGAACGCGGGCTGAAAACAGGTCCAGATCTCGGCGATTTGGTGTCGCAGCGACGTGCGACCAACTGAGGAGAGAACGCACCGGGGTGGTGTGCGTCGATGTGTGCAGAGTACCACTCACCTTCGATCCCGAACCCCGGGACCGCGCGTTGTCAGGGATGGTGTGCGTCGATGTGTGCTGAGTACCACTCACTTTCCACCCAGGACCCCGGGACCGAGGGGTCTCGGCTACTTTTTAAGGACTGATGCCTGATATGGGTGACTAGAGCAAGTAAAGGCGTGAAACACGACTCACGATGTAGTCGAATGTACTGCGTGCAACTCATCAGCCGACTTCAGCACTGTTCGATTTACTGGCGTGCCGGCTATGGACCGGCAAGGAACCAATGTCAGGTGTCAGATACAACACGTCATGTCAGGTGTCATGTCAGGCGTTACACCCGATGGTCCAGACTGAGGGAAACTGCGTCATGCGAGCAGTGTAGATACTTACCCAATTTATCATAACTGGCTTCCACCCAGAGCATCATCGGCTCACCTCAATATTTACATCACAGCCACTATTATCACAGACATACACGGGATCTAGACTATCACAAACTCATCCGGCTCGTCGGCTAGTGTTGGCAGGGCCAGAAAAGCTCAAAGACAGCCGGTATTACAGCAACATGCTTTGCAAATTTCTGTGTGGAGGAGTTAAATGATCAGTGTACCGTTGGCAAACCTCATCTTGGAAGAACATTCCAATGCATTCATAAGACCTAGCTGAGTGGGTTCCAAAAAACTATTCGTCAATTTGGCAAAGTTTTCGTATCATTTACATAGGAGCATGAATTTTTCTGTTATCACCTTGCTGGAGCTATAGGTGTCATACTGGTAATAAGGCAGACTTATAGCCATCGATCTTTCGCTCAGACTGGCTTTTCATTGTTACACATTTGGGCCACAATATCTGCCGACGGCTTGCTCACATGTGGTACCAATATCATCAGTTAATGCCATTAGTCAACGCCTTGCGCTGCCCGCAGGCGTCTGGTCGTGCCTCGTAAGCCGCATGATTGGGATTCGCTGAGTAGCGAGCCTTCGAGCGGGACCAGCTCGCCCTTAGTTCAGCGGCATCCCGACAGGGCGCAGCATCGCCGGCGGTCAGATGGCGTCGGTAACGGGGTGAGTAGCAGCAACCGCCCAGCCCAGCTTTGTCCGTGTATGATCGCATGGGACGTAAAGCTCCTTTTAGATTAACACTGAACAGAGTAGAAAAGACGGCGTTGTGTAGGACGCAAGCAAAAAGACAAGACAGCGGTCATGAAACGGCCGTCGCAAACGACCGTCCATTGCCACCTACCACTTGGCGGTTATTCCGATTGCTCTAACGGTCCTAAAATAAAGCGCACGCACACCTCTTACCGATTGCACGTCTTAAGCTGTTGAGTTTTGCCTATACCATCGGGTTTATTCGTCGCGACAAGTCGTGATCTTTCTGCCACCAAGGTCTAATCGGTCTGTCTGAAGCTCCATACGGACCCGGGAACCTATGACCGCCGTTTTCGTTGCCCACAGCTGCGGGGCGAGACACCGGTGCTGGGTCTGGCCCGGTCCTCAGCGCGCCCTCGCGGCGGCCGGGCGGCCACCCTGCGCCGCGTCGTGCCCGCCGACACAGTGACCTGGTCCGAGGCGCCCCTAGCGAGCTCGTCGCCACCGCCGGCCACCGAGCCGCAGTACGAGAACGTGCCGTCGGCGGCGCGGCCGGGCCCCGACGGCGCTGACGCGTCCCCAGACCGCGGCTCCACGAGCGGGTGGGAGGCGCTCCGTCGGGAAGAGGAGAGATGTGGTGGCGGCGAAACGGCGGAGAAGCCTGGCAAAAGGCCACACTCGCTGGGAGGAAGCGGTGCCCGCCAGACACTGACCGCACCCTTCCGACTGGAGGACGGGAGGCGGGGCAGCTGCCCGACGGAGGAGGCAGACGATCCTGGCCAGGGCGACCCTCCTCGGAGGAGCAGCGATCCGAGCGCTGGTGTCGACGCCCGCCACCTGGCGGCGCTGCGGTGGAAGCTCGGTCGACCTCAGGGCAAGTCGGACCTGCGACGCCTGATCGAGGAGCGCCGGCGTGCCAGCCTCCTCAGCGCGCTCTCAGACTCCGCCGGCCTCAGCTCGGAGGAGCCGGCACGGGGCACGGGTGTCTCGCGTGCGCAGCACCAGCGAATCAAGTGTGGCCCGGGCCCGGACCAGGACCGACTCGGACCGTGACTCGGACTCCGATGGCGACTCGCTCGGCAGCTCGATCTTCAAGCGGCTGAGCTCGCTGGCCAGGCGGCGGTACCACGACCATACCAGCTCCGAAAATGAGGATCCGACAGGTATGGAACGCCTTGTCACCGGGGCGACCCAACCGAGCTCGGAAAAACAGGCGTAGTTTGACAACGATCTTCAGATATCTGCAAAACACATTTCACGGTTTAATTCACTAGCGTCGAGTCTCTGTCTCTCGCAAGCCAGTGATAAACGCGACGGCCTGGTAGGGCAGTTTGTATTACAGTCCCATCCCCGAAGAGCTGATCAGCTCATTTGTTCGGTATGCAGCTGCTGAGGTACAGCCAGGATTAACGGCGGGGGAGAAGTTCGCAGGGATTACGACCGGAGAAGGACGAGGGAGGGGGGGGGGGGGGACTGGGCTGATATTTTTAGAGCCGAGCTACTTAGAACCTCTGATATGTACGGCACCTAACACATCAGCGCGCCATTAACGCATTGTGACGCCATTAACGCATTAACGCCATTAACGCTGATACATTGTGACGCCGAACGCTGGGTCTCAGCCGCGCACAGCACATACTTGCTCGGCCGTCTGCTGACCGTGCCACTAAATCAGCGCTGTTGGGTGCGACATGTCGCTGTCCATGTCATGTTAATCACGGCTGGTTGTAGGCACCCTGACCAAACGAACCGGTAACTTAACTCCAGACGTGGTGAGCGGGCTGTCACGTCACTGTCACGGTCGCGAAAACGTACTGAGTCGAACAACAGCTCAGCAGAATCGCTGTGCGATGACGCAGTGCTAAGGTTATGTTAGAACGCTCAGAGCCGACTTGTCCTATGCTTAAGACCTTATAATTTGTACACAATGCTGCATTAGCCACTTAGCGTCCAATACGTCCAACAAAAGCACGAGCCATGTTGTGGCGAAATATGAGGTACCCAAAGTATGCGTGGTGATATCACGAAGCCTCCTGGCAAGCTCCAGCATTGTAAGCTTGCATGGTCCTGATATTTTCAGAGGCCGTTTGGGCGCACGTTTAAATGGGACAGACTGCTCAACCGCCACATGTGTCAGGCAAGGCATGTGTTGCTTAGTACGCCAGGTGAACTTTCGGCGACCAATGTATTCGCTTCAAATTGCAAGCCATTTTGCATGGGGTTTCATATAGGTGGCGCAAGTGACGACAGCGGTAGGTTTATAAAGAGCGCTAGCTGCTTCCACACTTTTTCGGGGTGCCTCCTGTCTTCCGAAACGTTCTGCTCAGAAGTGTCATTCTATCTACTTTGGGGGGGGGGGGGAGAGGCAGCTGAGCCCACCCCCTCCCCCCCTCAATGCTGGCTTGAGTCCCCCCCCCCCGCTGCCTCTCTGAGTCACCTCAATGCATAAAAGCAAAGAGGGAATATTGGACCAAATAAATACAGATAGATTATCTTAACTATTGGTGCACTGTGTGGCAGGTACCAATAAAATACCACTTTTGATATCGCGTTAATGTTGTGCCAAATACTAATCGGTAGGTACCTTATGTTTTTGCCTTGCTAGCTCCTTCATATATAAAGCCAGTCTTCAAATGTTTTGGAAGTTTTTCAAATGATTACGCATGGATAGGGATAAATAGCATTTTACTGTAATATACGGCAACATTTAAAAGGACAGGGTGGTCCAGCAAAAAGGTTAACACACGTTTTCTCCAACAGCGGCAAGAGGACTATGGCGCATAATCGTGGCTGTGCTGGTTATACATCGCCATCAGCGACATCGGTAGTTATCAGGGACGTTTTACTAAGATTTACCAAGATGTTCTCTGAATGACATCACGTTCTAAGCTTTTGGCAAAAGGCAGCTCGCATTAACAATAAAAGAGCATCTTTTCTTCTACAGGAAAACGATTTTGAATTTGCGAAATGCAAAACATTTTTTTTTATTTGAACATCGAGGTCACAGATTAAAGCGGTCGAAATGCGGGTAAAAGTCGGGTTTTGGGGAGGTAATGTCAACTTTTTTGGCTGAGCCCCCTCCCCCATTTCAATCAGTGGCGTCCCTGGTTTTGCTTTTTTAAGTGTAAGCTGTACTTGCTGGACTTGATATCTCTTAATATCCCGCACGCAAATATACATACCCCACACGATTAGTCGCCGAGGCATACTCCCGACCCAAGCGTCTGTCTTTCTAGCCTAAATGTCACAGAGTGTGCTGCAACAGTATTGCTCATTTACTGTGTGCGCCTGCTGTACTTGCCGTCGAATTGAAGGTCAGGTTCTTGAGGTCACGCTCTTTTTTCAATTGGCGCTTTCAGTCCTCTTAAATATTGAACGTGTTAGGTTGGAGGTGCCTAGGTGACGACAACGCCTTACCATTCAAACAGTATCTTAGATGTTTCCTTTTATCCACTTAAAGTAATGGTCTTGACAGCTCATCTGCTGGTGTTGGATCATTTCACGGTTCTCGATGACGCTGCATAATAACATATTTTGTATTTTGAAATGAATTGCCGTTACTCCTGTGCAGATATACAAGGAAACGGCAAGAACAAAGCAAACCTGATTTTCTCTTGCTTGGCCAGCATGACAGGCTAGCTATCAGAACCATGCGAGGCACCACGGTCGAAAGGAGAGTGCCGCCACATTCGTATTTTATTTGGAGAGGATCTGTCACTTAATCCATCGAAAAACGCGCATCGAAACATAGCTTAGACGACTACAAGCAACATGTGACACGTGCGTGATCACTCCTTTTACTTAATCAAAGCCAGCAAAGCTCATAACGCACCAGCATTACAAGGGCAGGTGGTGCAAAAATAACAGGAGCCTCAAGGACGACGCGTCCTGTTCGTCTATGAGAAGCTCATATGCAGAAAGAGCACAGCACCAAGAAAAAAGTATCGATGCATATATTACAGCATACTGGACGCCATCCATATGCATGATAATGCCAATACGATACATATACACGATGCAATGCCAGACCATAATATATTTAGGTAGTGCCAGGGGTGTAGGAAACAGTGACAACACCGAAAAGGGGTCGATAGCAATGGGCAAACATGGAGCCGTGCGTCAGGCTGTCCGTGTCGAGTCACGCAGAGCAGTTCCTGGTTTCTGCGTCCAGGCCGACTAGTTGGCGTCGCCTACAGTTAGAAGACGTCACCCACCGTCTACGTACCGGAATCGGGCGCCCGAGGAAAGCTCCACCAGCTCCAGGAAGCGTGTCTGGACCTGGCACCTGAACATGCCTCCTCCCCGAGACCCCCCATCCCCCCCCCCCGAATGACCCTCGGTGCGGTGAAGAGCAGGTGCGGTCGGCCGCATACCATCTCTGTGGGCTAAATGTGTCGCATGAACTGTCTCCTTTTGGCTGGCGCCCAGGATTTGAAGGTTGGTCTTCTCAGGATGGAGCAGTTCAGACTTCATATCGTGTTCATTATCTTTCCGCAATAAAGTGCTTCAAGGAAGCGCTGGAGCTCTAATTTTGAACAAGGACCTTATGGTGGCAGTCGCTATATTGTTTCGCGCCTGCATGAGCCATGCGATTTTGCGCGTTTTCTTGAATGAAGTACCACGCAGGACAACATTGGGGCCGTATCGTCGTTTCACAATGCATCCCGCGGTGATTCAGCGCACCAGCTATGAAGCAACCTGAATAAGGTAACATTGTTAAACGCTTTTAGCTTTTTTTCTTCGAACCTGTGCTGTGCCTTGAATTGGCGGAGCCTTGTAACCATACGGAATTCAGCCCCGCTGCGATGTTCGGCAAACAACGCTGCTAACTGCTCCTATCGCTCCTGTATCGCCCTTGCTGCGTGTTTGAATCGCAAAGATCAGTTGAGCTCTTTAATTTTTTGGTATTTTATCTTAAAGTTAAATCTTTCATAGGAGCCCACACCTTCCTACAATAATCACATACCTTTAAGTAATTAGACATGGTCGGTAGATATCTTTTACAGAAATTGTCGGTAACGGACATTGCTCACAGATTCGAAAAATACATGTTTAAGCGGGCGCCAGATGCGAGTCAATGTTAACAGCGCATATACCAGCATATGCAATGTTTTCCTCAGAACACACGTCGCAAAATGGAATAGATTACCCACAGTTTGTCCCAACAAGGGACAAGGAATTACAGGGGATAAAATGTATTAACTTTACGCAGATGAAGGCTACATAATTATGATAAAATATTTCTTTTTAGGAGCGGTTCCCGTTTGTATATGCGGATTGACCCGCATATTTTGTTGCGGGGTGGTATTTTGGCTTTTTGCATAATTTTCACTGCCACGAGGTTCTTATCACACCGAATCTCATGGCTTTTTTGCGCAGAAAGAAAAAGTCACGATTGAATGTCTCAGAAGTTTTGTTCTTTTGCGTCTAGAACATCCCTGTAAATAGGTGGCCGATTAGGTATTTTTAATTCACCGGCATACGATACATGTTCACCCCTGGATGACCTCCAGACGATGGTTATGCAAGTGATGTCCGTTAAGTAAGTTGTATTCTTTAACGAGTTTTTAGTCAAGGACCTTGCCTTTATTAACACTTTTCGGTTCTGTGGGCAAGGTCAGTGACCCGACCAAACATTTATTTAAAAAACTTCTGTGACGAAAATCACGTGCATAATCATTGTGATGTGGTCACCTTTATTCACTTTAATACTTCCATGCCGTGTTTGATATGTGAGAGCAGGAGTGACAGTGGTATCGTATGTTGGTGAATCAAAAAGACCCATTCGGCGACGTTTTAACAAGCACATGCGTGACGTAAAAGCATAAAACTCCCGACACTTCATTTGTTAAACATTTTCTTTCTGCATACTAAAACTAGGAGGTTCGGCGTGATCAGAACCCTGGGCTGTAACGCTTTTGCAATGAAACAGTGGCTTCCCTACCGCAAAATATTTGAATCGATCCATCTACGTAAGCTGAAACACTTAAATGTAAATATTGTATGTTGGAGAATCATGTAGTCTTCACCTGTGCATAGTTAGTGTGGTTATATCACCCGTGATTACCTGTATTTTGCCGGGTCGAAGTGTCGTTCATGTGTGTCATTGTGTTCCATATGCTGAGAAAAAAGATTTGCATGCTGGTGTGTGCGCTGTCAACACTAGCCGGTATCTGATATCCGTTTTATCTTTGTACTTTTCGAATCACATGAGCTATGACCATGGGCGAAAATGGGTTCTAAATATATTCTACGTAACGTGTAAAACGTATGCAAGTATTGTAAGGACGTCATTTTAACTGAACTATTTACTAGACATGCCTTTCATTTCGCAAGTAATAAAATACAAATCTAGAAATCTAGTGCTAGAAATCTAGTCCCTATGGAAGAGGTACGTAGCCGGTTGCCAGTTCTGCATAACCTTTAGACTGAGTAGCCGTGGGAGAATGCTCCAACACGGGAGTGTGCGGTGTGTAGGATAACATCTGCTGGCGAATACACCCCCCGCCCCCCGAAAAAAGTCCTTAATTGTCCCCCACAAAGTGGCGACAAAACTGAATTAGTCTTGTGAATTCTCACAAAGACTAGGCATCGCATATCCCTGCAACGATTCTGTTAAGCTATTGCCCGATACAATGCATACCGAGCTGGAAACGCAAGGTGCCGGGAAACAGTGCACTAGAAGTAATGGAATTAATAATGGAAACAAACCACTCACTGCGTCTGATTTATGCCATGCCTGCATTTACTAGTACGACGGACAATATTGTCAACACTTTTTAAGAGGTGTCGTGATTAGTGACACGGCCGTCCCCGTTTCAACTCAGCTGTTGGATGGACACCAGTTGACCTTCGAAGAGGAACCACACAGCAGAGGTCTCTGAGACACGATCCCACATAATGACCACACATTCTTTAGGGTGGCTGATGCTCCATCAGCTGAGATGCAGCGATCGCGCAGCTTGATGTCTGACAGCTAAGCTGTGCTTTGACTCGGCTCTTTTGCACATTTGAGTATTGCCATTGATCATTGATGGTTCCGACGAATAGTGTCGAATGATCCGAACCGTCTGCGCATATGCTTTGAGCAAACGGTTATCACAATCACTAAGCATCAGACCCACAATAATGTTAACGTGACTCGGGGAGGATCTGGCCACTACAATTTTTAGCAAAAGAGTGCCCACTGGCTCTGGGTGTGTGAAAAGAATAAGGTTGGATGGAAACATTTTTCCTAACGTTGCAATAATCGCCTGCGCCATTTTGTGCTGTGCCGCATAAACAGGGGTATAGTTTTTTTATTCGGTTGAAGCATATATAAAAATGACATTTTCAGTAACGGAAAAATACATAATTAGCATTAACACACATTAACCATACATTAAACATAAATTTATCTAAGTTTGTAAAAGAAAGCGGGCAAAATCCACGGAGAAGCCCGTTTTTGCTGCTTTTCGGACGATGTCGGGGTCCGCAGTTTCTTCCTGTTCAGCTCCCCGCAACGTATCTTGTATACCCACACCCTCGCACATGAGCGTGTCCTAATTCGGGTTGGGAACGTCCGCAAGTCTGCTTAAATAATTTTAGTTGATTGTTACGCATTTGTTTCAGCCGTCGGGAGGCTGAAGCTCCTCCTAGGTAACCAAACTGTGTCGCCTTCGCACTATCCGCAGCTGCTCGAAGTTCGGCGTTGACCCCGAGACCGTGTGATGTAACACACGACTTTAATGATGAATAATGATGAATTATCAGCGAAGGGCGGTGTACAAGCCTCATTTTTCAACCACATTTGCTCGCTTACGGACCGAGACGACATTAGCCGCTCCGACAAACACAAACACTGCATTCCTCACACCGACACCGTTAGCTGGTGTGCTTTGCGGTCCGACGTCGTGTCTGTCTTCCGCCCGCTCGCGTCACCGTCCCGTCTCTGTGCCGTTGCTGGGAGTGTTCGCTTCTGTGACCGTCCGCTCCGCCTGCCCCGCTAAGGTCACAGGGTTACCGTGTACCGCCCGCCGGCGGCGACGGCCACCAGCTCGGCCACGGACATCTCCTCGTCGGACGCCGCGCCGCGAGGCTTCCCGTCGCCGCCTGTGCGGCCTCGCATGGGACTGGAGTACCTGGGACGGCCCGTCGCCCGCGCCAGCAGCCTGGGTCGCTTTGACCGGCCGGCCGCAGCCGACGCCTGGCCGCGCGGCTGGCTGGCAGACCATTACCAGACCCTGCCACGGCTCTCGGCGCTGCCACTCGGCAGTCAACGTGACACGGCCTCAGGTCACCGACCCGTACCAGGTGAGACCCTCTGGCTGGGCCCGGAGTCGGCTGATGAGGGCGTGGGCGAACAGGAGCCCCGTCCCCCTCCCAGCCCCCGAACTTCTCCCGGCCGGCGTCGCAGACTGGTCCCGAGCGGCGACGAGCCCAGGTCGGCAGCGGGCGCACCTTCCAGACGGCGCGGCGCGTCCAGTGATCCACCGTACTCAGATCATCAGCGGGTCCGCCCTGCACCTGGGGACTTCGCGTCCACGTGCCGATCGCGCGCCACTCCTGAGCGCCCCGAGTCCTGGGAGGGGAGCCCGGCCGACCCCCGCGAGTACTGCGTGTCGCCGCCCAACTGGCGGCAACGGCCGGACCGTAGCGGCACCCTACCCGCCTGGCGAGGGGCGTGGAGCCCCGCTGCAAGGGGCCAGCACGCCGGTCAGGGCCAAGACGATTCCGGCGGCGATAAACGCGTGGATCCCGCCAAGATAGTACCAGCTGGCGACGACTACCGACTCGTTTTTATCAGCTCCGACTCGTCGCGCGACTCGGAGCGTGACGTGCGGCGGGACGTGCCGCGGCTCACGCGCCGCCGCCGATTCGAGTGGCGCGGACTCGGAGCGCGGCTTCCTGGAGGAGGCCGACTGGGAGCAGTACAGACGGCACGCGGGCCGCGCGCCGCGCCGCCGGCCGCTGCCGGCGCCGGCCGGCGCACCACCCTCGACCCGCCACTGTCGGCACAAAGCCGCAGTCAAGGTCAGCGCCGGCATGGGGAGCAGGGCAGCGCCGGACGCGCTCGCGCTCGCGCGCGCGGACGCCCGCGCCTCGCTCCTTGCGGCCGGCTCGGGCCGTTGGTCGCCCCCAGGGGTGCGGTGGGAACGCGATGATCGCGGTAGACGCGGTCAGACGCCGTCTCCGAGCCTGGAGACGCAGGTGGTCGAGATGGAGTTGATCGATTTCGGTCAGGAGGCCGCGTTGCGAGAGAGAATGGGCCGCAGTGACAGGACGCGGGCGGAGGCTGGGAGATCACCGTGTGCTGTAACGCCATCGACATATACCTCGGAGAATGTCGGCGCGCGACGAGATGAAACAACCGCGACGAATGCAGTGAGCACGACCCACACATACGACACCGTTCCGCATATCGGTCCAGATCCACAGCTCGAGAGGTGCCGCAATCTAGTCCTGTCAGAAATCCGGCAACGTAGCAAAACAAAGGTCATAAATCAGGCAGAGAACGCGCGCCCCCTGGAAAGTCCCCGCATTGTCTACGACGACCATTGGGTGCGCGTCATCATCGGACAGAGCGCTGGGTTCGGCGCGGACGGGGCGGATGCGGGTCGCGACTCGCCGGGGTCGACAGCGTCGAGCGCGCTGGCCAGCGTCCGCCCGCGGCGCTCGCAAAGCTTTGCCGAGCCTGGCCGGCCGCCGGCGCGCCGGCCGCCGCAGCGCCACGCCAGCCTGAGCTGCCGTATCGCACGATGTGCATCGGCTGATAGCGGCGATAACGGCGCGCGCTGCGGCGGGCAGTGGCGTCAGGCGAGCGCCCCGGCCGGGTCCGAACAGCGCTGGATCGGCAGCGAGCCGCGGCCGGCGCCGAGCGGCGCCAGCAGTTCGGACGAGGAGAGAGGCGGGCGCGCGGCCGGCCCGCGGGCACCAGCCGCGGCAAGTGGCGCCGCGCCGCCCGGCCGCCAGTGTCAGCCGGGCGGCCGCCGCGGAGGCTGCGCGCACAGCACGGCCGTGCCGCTCACCGTCCCACCACCACCGCGACGCCGCGCAGCCGGCCAGGCGCGCAGCGACGGCGGCGCCACGTCCGAGACGGCCTCAGTGTCTGACGCGGAGGAGACGGCGCCGCGGCACCGCACCAGCGACTACAGCGGTTCACTCTCAAACCTCCCCGAGGCCGGCGTCGACTCGCTCAGCTCGGACATGGAGGAGGAGAACCGCAAGAACGCGGCCGTGTCGGCGCTCGACGACGCCGGCTCGTGCCGCATTGAACAGTGCGCGCCCGAGTCCAAGGTGGACGACTCAGAGTCGGACGAGTCCACGTGTGAATACGACCTGTTGGACGCGGCCGAGCGGTACGACCGCGACCGGGCCGTCAACAGGATTCCGACTGAGAGCGAGAGCTCGGCGACGGCCGACACCACGCGCTCGGACGACTCGGACAGCTCCGACTCGGAGACGCACGTCAAGCGCACGTACGTGCTCAACGCCAGCTCGTCGGTGGAGGAAATGCTGGACAGCGGCACCGACTCGCCGCTGACGGTGGACGCCCGGGCGACGTCCCCGGCGCCGGCGCGCGTCGCCGGCTCCCGGTCGCCGGGCACGACCGGCGAGACCGGTCCTGCGGCGGCGCAGCAGGCCGATGGCGCCGAGCCGGACACGGGGCAGACGTACGCCGCTGGTGCCGAGCCGGACACGGGACAGGCCGACGCCGCTGGTGCCGGCCGAGTACAGGCAGACGCCGCTGGTGCCGGCCCAGGACAGGCGGACGCCACTGGTGCCGAGCCCGACACGGGACAGGCGGACGCCACTGGTGCCGAGCCCGACACGGGACAGGCGGACGCCGCTGGTGCCAAGCCGCACACAGGGACAGGCAGACTCCGCTGGTGCCGGCCCAGGACAGGCGGATGCCGCTGGCTCGGGTGCGGCACAAGTGAATGCTGCCGATCCGGACACGAAGCATGCTGACGCTCATCAGCTCGTCACGACCTGTGCGAAAACGGTCATAGTCACTGACACGGCGGGACAGGAAAGGTCAGCTTCTGATGCGGTGAGCTCGCCGAGGCAAAGCCCTCCTAATATAGTGAAGCCGGCAGGCGTGAAGCATCTCGATGTGGTCGAGTCGGCGACAATGCTGTCTGCCAACGAGGCAGGCTGGACAGACACGAGTGCGGTGTACGTAGTGGGTTTTACGGAACTGAATTCTCCTGCAACATCCGACTCTAGGACTGAGGGCGTCATGGAAGCACCAAGTGTGGACAGTGCGAGTGCGCCAGAAACAGTGGACGCACGCGATGCGAGTGCTTCGGAATCAGTGCGGTCAGTGGAGGCGGCGAGTGGCGAGTGCGGCCCTGCTGTGTGCCTGGCCGAGGATGCAGCACAGGCAGCCGTCCCGGATGGCTCCGCGACTGAGGTAGAGCTAAACAAAGAAGCCAGTGCTCCGACAACTGGTGCGGCCCCGACCGGGGCTGAGGCCTGAGCGACACGCGGTGAGTGGCGAGCCGGTGGCCACCCCTCAGTCTTCAGAAGCAGATGTCACGGCGCACGTATACCTGTCGTCTTGCGCGGTGGCTCCCAGCTTCTCTGTTTCACATGAGCTTAGAACGGATGTAGGCGTCCGGTCGCGGTTAGCTAGTCCAGAGTCCGTCCCAGAGAAGACTCGAGTCGACGCAGAAGGCTCGGGCGTCACTACCCGAGGTGCGGCAACGGGTGCGATAGCGCTGGACGGGGCGCAGCCAAATGACATTTCGGTAATCGAGGCGGTTTCATCAAATTCGGAACATAGCGTAAACAATGTTGCCCCATTCAGAGCCGTTGGGCATCTTTCACCGTCTCAGTCAATATCCGCCGCTTCTGAAGATGAGCTGAAACCGAACGAGGGTAGTCTATCGTCATCGGCTGCTGCTCAGGCCTGGCCAAGGCGAGTTGAAGCTAGCGACATCAGATTCAACAGATACGTTAAATTCTACGGTCGCATCTGAACCTCATTTAACTCAACCTGAGTTTGTTTCCGGTACTCGAGCAGACAAGGCAATCCGCGAGGCATCTACCGGAGAATTACGCCTAGATGGCGCTGGTATGGTGTACCATGATGTTTCCGAATCCGTGTCGTCAGAGGTAAAAGTGGAGACAGCAAGCGCCGTTCAGACCAACAACACAGGGATCGTGCACAGTGACGACAAACTGGAACCATCGGATGTGCCCGGCTGTGAGTCGGGACCGCTCGAGGCGTTCGGACGGCCCGCAGCAAGAGGCGACTCCCGAGGGCGAGGTCCCGTCAGGAAAACTGTCGGAGTGTACTGCATCGGAGACGGGTCCGAGGCCATCCCCAGAGGGGGAGCGTCTTATCGGAGATGATTTAACATGTGTGGAGCCGGCGGCAGACGACTCGGCCCCAGTTGACCCTGAATCCGCTACGCTAGGGGACAAAACCACAGCGGTTCTTATCGTGCCGGCCGGTTCAAATGTCACAGGGCCTGAGGACGACACAGCGACAGGCGGTCCAACAGCAGCCTGCCATGATGCAGCGGGCACGGGGGCGAACGGCTCAAAACCAGGCAAAACTGAAGCTACTGAATCGCAGGAAAAGCCTGTCGCTGAGACTGTGGCACAACCCAATCCCCGTGGGAGAGATGGTTCGGGGGGTCACGGTTCGGGTTTAGACAGCGCTTCTTATGATAAGTCTGCAGGTGACGAACAGAGGCTAAGCGGCTCTCCTGCCGATGAAGAAGATGGGGAGTCCACTCAGCTGGATTTGGCGCAAGGCGGTACTGAAGCTGATGCGGTTAGAGACAACGCAGCAGACCGTCAGGCGCCAGCCGGTCCTGCTGCCGGCGCAGAAGAGCAGCGGTCGGCCGCTGAGGATGCGACACCAGACTGTCCAGTTGGTGAATTAGTGGAGGAGAAGCCAGCTGTTGACGATCTGACGTCACACCGGCCAGCTGCTGAGGGGGCGGGAGAGAAAGCAGTTTGCTGAAGCTTCGACGCAGCATGGCCCGGCGGCTGACGCAAGGGAAGTGAAGCCAGCGGCTGAAGACCCGATGGAAAACAGTTTAGCTGCGCGCGCGGTAGAGAAGAAGCCAGCTGTTGACGATGCGATGCCTGGTA